CAAGATGACATACCCCAAGATGATATACTAACCCAAGATAATGTGCTACCTCAAGATGATGTATTATCTGTATTACCTCCAAGACGATATACTTTCTCAAAATGATGAGCTATCTCAGGATATCACATTAACTCTGGATACTGCAATTGAAAATGAAAGTGTAAAACATAAAAAAAAGGAACTTTATTTATTACTCGATCATGTCAAAACTATTATTGACCAAAATACTCAAACACCGAATGCAGAGCAGTGGATTAATTCTATTGATAAAAATTTTAATGCATTGCGAAAAATGGTAGACGATTATACACAACTTGAGAGAAAACACAATATTCCAAACACATGGGAGGGCCGTAATCATAATACCTTCTGGATTTAAATTTGTATTGTAATTTTAGTCTGTATTGTAGTAAAGACATGTTAGCAATGTAGATTTGAGCATTAAAATAATTAAATATAAATTGTATTATTTTCATAAATATTGGTTTAAATTTAAAGTCTTTGGCTTAATTAAAGTTCTTTTTTTAAGGTTAGGTTTAGGGTGAAGCAATTAAAAGTCCTTTTTTTAATGTTAGGGTTAGAGTGAAGCAATTAAAGTTCTTTTCCAGTGCCTTAGTAAATGGAAATATGCTGTAGCGGAGGCGACAGCCGTAGCGGAAGCATCAACTATCCTTTGCGAAGCAAAGGATAACGGATAAATCCATCTTTGAAATAAAAATAACGCTGTTAAAAGTTAATATATACTGCGCTATACGATGATCGGAAAATCCCATGTACATCAATTCACGTGATCGGCGAAATTTTTTTGACTGGTATTTTAAACACTGTTTAGGTAAATCCTAAAGTAAATTATACATAATAGGCCTTTCTAAAGTTAATTTTTATGTATTACTCGTTGGAGCAATAGACTATATAAATGGTTAGTTGCAAGATATTTATGTTAATGATTTGTGCAAGTTATTGTCATATATACTTATTTATTTTTTTAAAGAGTACCCAAATCGGCATAATCAACATTAGAAAGGCCAGGTATATAGGCATCATAATTTTACTAATTACGGTTGAAGTGATGATTTATCCTTCAAGAGAAGTATAACGTTTTATTTAATAATCTATTTGTTTAAGAAATAAAGTAGATAAAATACTATATATTTATTAAGACAATTTAATAGTGCTGCGCGGTTCAGATTAATCTATTTCTTGTAACACCAATTTAATTTACAATTCTCTGATAATCGTTTTTTTTTAATTCATAGATCATCGGCACTGTTAGCTTCGTAGTTTTGTCCATTATGGCAGTTCTCCACCTACGGAAAATATAATAAATTCTAACAGTCGCAGTAGTATAGTATCTGGTAAGTTGTTTGGTACATGCTGTTCTTTGTTCTGGCAGCATGTTCTCCAAGATTTCGCCCAAATAATAGGTGTACCATAATTGCGCCCTTTGATTTCCTGTTCTTTTAGATTGAAGAAAAGATTGGTAGGTAATTGCAACTTGGGCTTGATAATCTTGTAATGGATTATAAGAAGCACCGATAGGATCACTAGTAATAATACTACCATTGTGACCTAATAATTCGGCCATAACTGTATTATAGAGACTTGCTATAATATATAGGATTGATGATGTTTTTATTTTGCTAATCGAGGCTTGTAAGGCTTTTAGTGGGCGAATTTTTTTTAAAAAAAAGAAAAAAAAGAAGAGGGAAAAAGAAAACGAAGAAATAAAATAAATGAAAAAAAACAATAATGAAAAGGTAGAGGGGAATTTCTAATTCTAATACGAAATATTGATTTTGAATATGAGAGAAATGGTCGAGGTATTTAAAGTTTTTTTTTCTTTTAATCTAAGATTTTTTAATTATACTATTAGTAGGTGCAAATAATGCTTACCATTCTTATTGAGTAATTTGTATGTGTCATTAGAAAAGAATATGTCGTTAGGGAAAAATGCGTCGTTAGAAAAGAATATGTTCGTTAGGGAAGAATGCATCATTAGGAAGGGTATCGTAAAAATAAAAAAGACCTAGACAAATAGGGCTAGATTAATATGCACTTGATAATAATTTATTAATTGGTTAGTTTTTCTTTTTGTTTAGTTAAAGCGTTTAGCTTAATAAAAAAATTTTTTAATTAAATTAGACAATTAAAAAAATAGTTCATTAATGAATTTTATTTTTGGGCGAAGTATTTATTTATTACTTGCATCCTGATACTAACTATTTTTTCTCTTTACATTTTGCAGTCATATTTACAATCAAAATGTGCATTGTTATTCATCGGCAGATACTTTCGGATGGTTTTATTTTTCTTTACTAGCCATTGGTGCCGGTTACTTATTCGAAAATTTCCAATCACTATTACTATGCCAACGGATCAAGTGATTAAAACCATGGCAAAACGATTATAGTGACAATTATTTTGCAAGAGAACTATGATACTTTTTATTAATTTACTTATTTTAGAGAAGGTGAAATACTAATTTATAGTTTTCATTAAAGAACAGATATAAGAGCCCGAATATCTATCTTACAACTTGAACGAAAACCGAACTCATCAAACACTTTAACAATGGATAATTTTATTTTTGAATGAGTTGGTAAGTAATATCTATTATATCTATATTATTAATTTATTATATAGAATAAATATTAATATCTATTATATTATCTATATTATTAACTTATTATATAGGATAAATATTTAAAATCTATTTTGCTTTCTTATTCCTGAATTTGGTGCTATTTGAGATGCTTCTAAAATATTGTTACTAGCCATGTTACTAACCATGACATTAACTCTTGCAGCTCTTGTCCTTTCTATTTGAACGGCTTGTCTGAGCGTTATTCGTAAACTGTGGATATCTTGACTGTCTTTTTCTTCCCATTCTGCACCAATTGATGCAAGCTCTTCTTGCAGCTTTGTAAATTCGAAGCTTTTATCACCTAGAGGACCAATAGAACTGAGGGAATCAGGCTCTTCAACAACTGGATTAACAGACTGTAACGCAAAATAATCATGACTACTTTCCTCTACATGACTAGAGTTAGCGCGAAGCTTATTAAGAACAGCAAAAATATGTTTGCATGGCAATTGTTGTGTTTTGAAATCACGACAATTGCAAATATATGAGGATATATTTAAATTGTCATCGCTATTAACTGAATCTTTTTTCTGGACTGAATATTCTATGTCATTATTTGTCATAGAACGTACAATCCAAATATTAGAGCCGACGCTATAAATATCATTCGGGTTGAAATTTGTAGTTCCTATAATCTCACGAATCCGTTGTTGGCGTCTTAGTGGATTCATCCTGCCGACTTTTAATTCATTCAAGAAAGCCGAAAATTCTAAGTCTCGAAGTACTGTTTTTATAAGAAGATATACTTCGCTATCAAGTCATCGTCCCGGTCGTCCTCTCATATAGGTATATTTTAACTTACGGTGAAATGCTTCAATTAAGTTGTTTGTATCTATCATGTCTCTGGAAATCCCTTTTAGACATATCATCCACTTGTCATATTTTGGTTTCCACCAACGCTCAAAGTAATCAGCGAAGGTTTTTATTGCATCGATATTAAATTGTCGCCACCTGTTAATTGCTTCAGTAACTTGTTTTCTCACCTCCGCATCATCCCACCCTTCAGTTTTCATCAATTGCCAGAGATCGTTCCAAACGGTTGCCTTATATCTATTGACATTAGCACCAGAATGATAGTTTAGTTTCCTGCGCCAAGACCTTAAAAAAAAAAAAAATAAAAAAAATGGTTTCAATATTAATATACTACAAAAGAATTATATTTTAACATACTAAAAAAAAAATTTTTTTTAAAGGCGGTTTTACCTTAGTACGTGGAAATGGCACAATAATACTGTACTATCAAGAAACTTTTCTTCAACAGCTTTTATTTCCTCTCCGGCATCATCAATCATAAAAATATCAGGTTCCCATTCATTATTTTTTTGTTTCAAGAAATTAAGCCACTTTATTAATGTTACTGTTTTTTTATATTTACTAATTAAAAATGCAATTGGATATCCGCTTCCCGCTGTAGAGTGCCGTATAATAAGCGTGAAAAGGTGATAGTCATATTTATTCATCCCGTGAGTACCGTCCAAGCATATAACCCTAGCCTGTTGCATAATTTCCCTTTGTTTTTTTGTCTGAAAGGCGAATAAGAATCCTGTGTCAACTGCTTCTGAATTTTGTTCACCGCCGCATTCATATAAACAATATCCACCAGCACCAATTATCTTATCTTTCCATTTATCCAGGGATTTTATTTCATCCACATCAAGGTAAATGCAATTTTTCATTACATCACGCACAATCATATAAATATCTTCTTTTGTTATATGAATTTAATAATATTTAGAATATAAATTTAATTTAAAGAAGTATTTTAAATCTATAAGCCTATTTATAAGTTTATCAACTCTGATTAGATGATAGTAATTTTTGAATAATCTATATATAATTTTGATATATCTTCTTTCTTATATATAAAAAAACTAGTATTTCAAAAGATAAGATATTAAGATAAATAAATTCTTTTTAAATTAGATTAGTTAATTATTTTTTAAGCTCATTCATTTCTATGAAAAAGAGTTTATAAATAAATTTAAATTAAAGATAATATTATAATTTAATTATAATTCTCTGATTAGCTATTATAATTAATCATAATTCTCTGATTAATTATCACAAGTTATAATTAATTAAGATGATATCTTTAATATTATATAAATCTTATTTAATAAAGAAGATAAAGTTATTTATATTAATAATATGATAACTAAAATACTTTTCTAAGTATTGTAATAAAGACTTATCAGATTTTAAAAAATAAGATATTATTATCTGTCTTGATTTTATTAAGATACCAGTATAAAACTATATTAGTTAAGAATGTAGTAGTATATTATATCTGAGTTTTCTTATTTATAATCTCTTAAATCCAAAATATAATTTTAACTTGTATGATTCAGATAAGTATATTCTTATTTGACTTTCCTAAATATATTAATATCTTAACTAAAAGATAAAATATAGACTTGAAACTAGAGAGATCATTTTTTTAATTATTTTAATTAATTTATTCATACTTTACATAAATTATACAAACTGTTCTGAATTTATTTTGATATGATTTAATTTCTAAAACTAAAATATATATATATATAAAATGTATATAGTATATTATTATGGCGAATTGATAAGTGGATTATCACTTGAATTTATCCTAATGATATAGAGTTGGAAGAGATTAAGATAATTAAAGATAACAAGAGGGGAATTAGACTATACTTTTAATAATGACAAAGATTTCTAAAGCCTGTGCCAATATCTATGGATATTATCTTAATAAAGAGGATTAAAATAAAGAAAGAAGGAAAATAAATCAATAAAATTATAAAGATTGACTAAGTAAAGCCACTAGTAATCAATATAATTCAAGATTTGAATTGATTAAATAGTAAACTATTAATTAAAGAAA